CCCCACCCACCTGCCGCCACCCCAGGTGCGTGGGCTACGGTGTGGTGTCTGCGGGTGCGGCCGAAGGGATTCGGGAGCCCGCGCCCTCCGGCCACCCGCTCAGGACAACCCCGCTGCTGGACCATGAGACCTCGTAGGCCGCGCCCCCCACTGCCCTCGTGCCCCCGCACAGCGGAGGGGCCGCTGCCCCCCTGGTGCACCCGCTCTGGGCTGTCGAGCCAGCAGAGGGCGCCCCCCTCGCCCCCGGCTCGGAGATACTGGCGGGGCGAGGGAGAGCCGGGCGGGACCCAGCGCCTTGCCCCCCGCACAGCCAGGCAGTGGCCTGGCACCACCCAGCTCTGCCCCAGACCCGAGTCAGGCTGCTGAGGCTGTGCCTCAGCACAGCCCTGTCGTTTGGGGTTCCTCCCAACTGCTGGGGACCCCAACACCAGGGCTTAGGCAGAGCTGGAAGCTCAGGTCCATTTCACAGGTGAGGACACTGAGGCAGGGTGAGGGAGCTGCCCACGGACAGGGCTAGCAAGAACCAGGAGCCACCCGAGGCTGCCCGATGCATCCCCTCGGATTCCGCCCTCCCACTGGCGAGGGACCTGGCGCCAGGGACAGCAGAGGAAGGGAAGGCAGGGAACCTCCAGAAGGCAGACAATGGTGAGATCTGCCCTGGAGAGGGGCACAGTTGGGCAGGAAACACAGGGCAGCCAGCTCCTGAATGCTCTGTCTTGGCCGTGACTTTTAGGAGTGACCTTGATGAGCTAGATAGAACACTAAATATTATGAACTCAGGGTGTTAGTACTTCCATTTTGCAGATGAGAAAACTGAGGTGTCAAGAGAACTGCCCAAGGTCACAAAGCTAGAGCGCAAGAGCTGAAGTCTGCGCTGTAGCCGTCGGATTTCTAGGTCTTGTTCTCTCCTCCGCAGAGCTGCCTCACGTGACAAAGTCAATTGGTCTCTGGCCCCACCTCCTTTCCCGAGGGTACTGGTGTCCCTCCCTTAATCACACACCCCACAGTGAGACCTTCAGGGTAACCGCCCATCAGCATCCTCTCCAGGAAACAGAGGTCAGAGGCGCCCCTGAGCCCAGGAGGATGAGGTCAGCCCATTACCGGGCTGGTGCAGATGCTAAATAATTCATGGACTGTTGTGAGCAAGGCCTGCAGCTTCCTGCGGGGCTCCGAGTGCAGACAGCAGACAGGAAGCAGTCTGGTCACCAGCACCTGGGCCTGACCCAGCACCCCCCTGGGGCTGGATTAAGTGACTAGTCTCGGTGAGAATGGGTTTGAGGGCTGACAGACACTTACTAGCTGCATGGCCACAGGCAAGTCACTTAAACTGTTTCTTGCTCTTATGTGAGCTGTGAGGGTCCCTGAACAAGTGTGGGAACCACATGTGTAATCCAAATACTGGGGGTGGCACTTGGCAGGTCCTCCAGACCCAGGGGAGGTGTTGAGCATCCCCTGGCCCCAGTACAGCTTCCTGGGAGCCCAGCATTTCACCCAGCAATGCCCACCCCCCTGCCCCCAGCATGCCAGGCAGCAGCAGGACTACAAAAAAGGTCCCCCTCTCCTGCCCCATCCCTACATTCCCAGGCCTCGTGTGTTGCGTGGGTGAGGGAGCACTGCTCTGGGGCTGGGCTGGTTTGGGAGGCCTGGTTTCCTCTCTTAGAATAAATTCCCAATCAAGAAAAAAGTTACATGGAATCAAACATCCTTTCTTGGTCTAGACCGCAAGGAGAGTTAAAAAAATATATATTATTAATAAAGCCCAGAAAAATTCTTAATGAACACACAGGTATCCAGTGGTAGTAATTCCTCGCAAACGGAGAGTAAGGTCACTTAATTCCGAGCAGCATGAAGTCCAAACTTGGAGCCGGAGTTTGACGGAGTGGGTGTGAGACTCACCCAGGTGCTGGCCTGCGCTCACCTGCAGCAGGCTCTGGTCTCTTCTGGTGTTCTTCCCGTCAAGTCTTGTTTGTGATGCAGCTGGACCACTTCTCTACCTTCCCCACTTGGCCAAGGGCCAGGGTATCAGGGGAGACCTGGATCCGGGCAGACCTGCTCCTTTTAGGAGCCCGTCCCTCGCCAAGCCTCCGTGCAGGCCTCCAGGGACTCGGACTATGAACAAACCCACATTCACTGCAGGCCGCTACCTGTGGCCACTTGGCGCTGCAAAGGACTCACGTGATACTATCACCTCGAAAAGCAGGGTAGTCCCTTTGTTCACCGTAAGGGATCTTCAGGGCACTAACCTAGATCAAGAGACATCTGAGGTGCACAGAGCTCTCCCCTTCCCTCCCGTCAGAGGGAAGTTATACGCCATTCCTGGACCTGAGCAACCCAGTACAGCAGATGGGGGGGGG